GAGAAGAAGCCACGTCGGAGGATGCTAGCATAATCAAGGGCCAATTTCCGGATCTAAGTCTTGGGGACAAGACTTTATTGGAAGGAGGGAGTAATGTTATGAATCCTCCTAAATTGGATGTTTTACCCAAGCCCAAAGTTTTAAAGGTATATGCAAGACGGTCCAAGAAAGGATAAGGTTTATCCAAGAAAGGATAAGGTTTAATTGATAAGGTTTAGTTGATAAGGTTTAGTTTTACCTTGCTTTGGGAATATGTCTAATAAATAGGGGGGATACCTTTAGCTTACAGGCATTCCGTTATTTTTCTAAATAGTTACTTGCTCATAGCTCCTCGCTTTGAGAGAGGGAAGTTTCCCTCGTTCGGTGATCATCTTTGTTTTGGTAATTTTCCGTTTTTAGTTGCAATCAAACCTTCGTTTCTATCCATCTTTTACTTTTCTGTTCTTCTCATATTTGACTTCGTATCAATCTATAGTAAGAGGAGTGTCATCAAATGACCTATTTTACATTAGAGGCGACAGATTAACAAAGAATCTACCTACCAACAATCCAGAAACGGGATAATTGGATTCTTGTCTAGACCCAGACCCAAACCTGCGTGTACTCCCAACCTCCAAGGTTAGTTCAGCGGGGGGGTCTTCCATAACCGAAGTCTCGCTCAAAAAAACAGAAACGCCGTGCAAGGGGGCCTCACCTCCGAGTTTGATGAAGATAGGTGAGGGGATTCAATCTGATCCATCGATCTTCTATTTTTCTATCACAAGATCAGCCGAAATACACATGGACCACGAGACGGCCTAAAGCAACCTAGGTCCAGTTACCTTACAAACCTTGACCTCTTCAGTACCTATGTCTCACCAATTCTTTTTAGTTTCAGCAGAATATCACGTTGATCATTGATGTAGCGAATCAACGAAAAGTGAAAAAGAATCTCTTTGTGACTTCTCATTCTCTTTATAAGTATCATCTTCATCCGGGGACACAGATGAGGTTGTTCAACACAACTATTTGCAAAGAGAACTTGCTATAATCTATACTGACCTAAAACTTGAAAAGATACTTCTTCTTTTGACCATAAATCCTTCAAAATACCCCATTAGATAAAAAAAAACATAGCCCATTTTTAGTAGACTTGAGGGAGGTTTGAATGGTGGAGCTGCGGTTAACGCTATTGAAGAAAATCTAAAGGCTGGAAGGGTGGTAGCTCGGATATCACCATGAGTGGTTTCAATTTGAGGGGGAGCACGGACTGCAAAATGGAAAGATGTCTAGATGGGATTTATTTTAGATGCAAAGTTGGGGATCTTGGAAATGCATGAGGGGCTAGTGCAATGGTTGGGCTAGTGCACCAATTGCAAAAGAGATTCAAACAAGACAATATAAGGTCCATTAGTTATAAGTTGGGCTATACGTATTCTGTCGATATGCGGTCATTTGCTTGCACTGCCTTTGAGCTTGCTATCGAGGAGATGATGGTTGCTTCCAATGGACCTGGTTTCAGCGAATATGAGGACCACCTTGCTTTAATGCTAAGAAAGATGCCTTGAAAAGATATCCGTTGGAGGACTTCAATCCAACGAGTACATTGACAGATATGGTGACCTCAAATGGATCTGTAGATTGATAAATTGGCCTCAGTTGGTTACTCGCTGAAAAATTCAAATTCTCTGTGAATGATGTTCGTGAACTTGCAGAATTCTTAAGTCCAGTTCTTGATTTTGCATTAGAAAAGCGACCAACTGGTGAGTAGTTTTAATGTCGTCAATGCGAACTGTCCCGGCTTCTGATCATGCTTTCTGTTGTCTGTGTTTCGACTCTTCTGGTGAAAAGAATAGGTTGTTCTCAGGTGTATAGGAAGAGATGTTAGTGACAAGTGATGGAAGGAACCGCACCCTTGGCTCAATGAAGAAGTAACCTCCTCTTTAAAAATGACTAAGCAACATCGGTTTTGCAAAATAAATTTCAAGAGCCTCTTGTCAGTATTGACCAATTGGGAAGGCACAAATTTAATGGCAGCTGGTTGGGTAGAAGTGTTACCAGGTAAGATCAGTCATTTTATGTTTTCTATCCATCAGGAGACAAGGGGGTTGTCTTGGGGTTGGGGTAATGTTATGCACACACTTGAGCCAAGGCCCATTAGTACGTTTCGGGTTCTAGATGAGGATAAAAGGGGTATTTAACTGATTTTGGGCATTTAGTATGTAAGGAAGGATTTATTGTTATTTAGAATAAATTGATTACTAAGGAGTATAAATAAGAGACACTGGCTTCTCTAAAGCTTGGTCCCTTTTATGTCTCTGGTGAAATAAGTATAATCATTGCCCTCTGTTATCGATAATTCATTGATGGTTGTTATGTATGTATCATGTACGTATGTTTCTACATATGTGTGTGTGCATGCATGTATGCATTTTTGTATGTGCATTTATGTCTGTATTTATATTTAAGCTATTTAGGTTTGATGTCTCAGTATGATTGCTTGATCTATATTCTGCATATTGCTCTTTTCTTTCAATGGTAGAGTATCCTATTCGGTGCCTTCACTTCTCATGGCACCAAAGCTGAGACTCTTAATGCAAATCTGACACTCATCGCAAAATCTAACATCAGTAATCAAAGCTTTAGACCACCATTCCTGGCATTGATTTCCTTCACCACGTTTACTTTCCTTCTTACTGTCGACAAGGATGGCTTTGCCTTTATCATCATTTATAATCACAGCCTCATTAGTCAAATTGTGATTACAGTTCTTAGATGTCATCGAAGTTGACTTCGTCATGTTTTCCCAGTAGCCTGAGGTCATTTGGCTCCAACATCATAGTTAGCAGAGATCACTTCTCACCAAGGCAGCTAGTTACTCTTCTTCTGATTTCTGTTATCCTTGCATATTCTGCTGCTTTCTTGGAAGTTGATTGTTACCTTCTTACTGAGAATGAATTGTGATCTGATTGTGTTGCCATTTCTCTTCTTTCAAGAGTTTGTAGTGTATAGCATCATGAGCTACTCGATTGCCTGGTTGCTCGCATTCCAAGTATTTCATGTATTGATGAGTGTCTATTGGGTTCCTTGTGTTACCAAGAATTGCAAAATTGTTAGAAAATACTCCCTTCGTCCACAAAATAAGTGTCCATATTTCTATCTTAGTATGCCCCATAATACGCATCCACTTTCAAAAGCAAGTGTCTACTTTCCAATTCTACCCTTAATTATGAGATGAGAATTTCATTACTCCCTCTATTATTGAGGATAATATTGTCTTTAGTTAATGAAAAAGTGTAATGATTACTGTTTCGAAAAATTGTGTGCCTTTTTATCATTGTAGACATTTATTTGAGATGGAGGGAGTATGTAGTTCTGCAACTTCTTGATTCAACTGAAATGAAGAGTATAATCAAAGGAATGAAATAGTGGTGTTTTTAGTGATTTTGGTCTACATATGTAGTTGCATTAAATGAAATTCCAATAAGGTGATGTCAAGGACTAGACTCGGTTGTCAAACATTATGTATTGACACTAACAGTTGAGGTTCCCTTGGCTCTTGTTGACCCAATTCTGTGACGTCTCTTTAATTACCTTTCAGGTGAATTAGAAAAAGGAACATATTGATACTCATCTTGTTCTTGTTGCCACCCTGTTCTTTGTATTTTATGTGAAGTTGGAATGGATGATGATAGAACTTGTCAATGTTACATGAACACAATTATTGCGAATGGAACTTGGCCCTCTGAATCATTGAACTTGGTTAAGTGCAAGAGCTTTAAGTGTTTGACCGGTGTGTTGACAGTCACATATACGTTGTCTTTACCTCTGAACATGAGTGTAAAGTCCCCTTTGTAGTTGGCTAGGGACCATGTGTATTATGGTGCATTTGGGTATATATTACGAGAGTTTGTTAGGCCCATGTGGGTTTCTTATTCCTTCAGTTTCGATTGTCCCTTCGGATTCAAGGTACCCTTTCATAACCCAAAAAGAAATTCTACTTACAAAAATAAGTTGAGCAGGTGCACGGAACCCCGCTCGGGGTTTAGTAGGTCGTTCCCTGCCGAGCAGGGATGTTAGATACTGTTGTTGCAGCTCTCTTGCAATGGTGAGTTTCGAGATGAGCGACTACCAGTTGGGAAGCAGACATACCTCCAATCACTTGGCCCATTACTTCTTAGTGCTGAGTTGATTCTTGTATTTCCTCATACTAGTCATTGGGATGCTGTATTCTAGATCTTGAGGTGTCTCAGGGATGCTTCACAATGTGATCTGTTGTACATTAACATGATGCACTGATGTACACCTAGAAGAACAGACTTTTTCATATTCTGATTTCCTCAGAATATAGCTCAATACCAAGAAAACTATCCGATTTTTGAGAGGTCAGAGTCTCTACCAAAGGCCAACTCCCAATTTGTGATTACAAAACCGAATCCCGTCCTGATACCTCCCTCCTCTTATTTATACTAATTGCTGATGTATGCTAAATAGAACCTCCCACCCAAACTAACAATTCTCACCTACATGTTCTGGAGCTTTCTAGAATGCGCTTGCTCTGATCACGCATCACATATACAACTATTATTAGGGTATAACAATACCTGTCCACCAAACTTCCACATTGTCCTCAAGGTGGGAAAAAGTAAAATAGAAACTGTTTCCAACTTATCACATCTATCCTCCGACACTGAATATTCTTGCGAGCTTTTTTCTATTTATCCAGGTGCCACGTGTAATATGAGCACATGTGAGATGAGGTTGTTGATACCTATCCCCTTCATAGGGTTAAAATAGGGCATGTATGAAGCTAGTTGATCATACTTCATGTCTATGCTCCAGCTTGAGAATTGTTATATATATGTGTGTTAAATGTACATACATACATACATGCATGCATGCATGCATGCATATGTATGTGTTTATTATCTTTTGCTCAAAATGATATCTAATCTAGTTCAATTTGTTATTAGTTGTTTCCAGAATTTGATATTTATGATTGATATATTATGTGTTTCTAGACTTGCTATTCAGAGGCTTGAGCTAACGAAAAACGACTTGCGGCAGAGAATTGCAAAGGAGGTAACATTATAGATATTGTGGTACTTTTTGTGCAATGTCCGCAATGATGAGAGTTTTGTTAATAGTATCTAATTTTCATCAATATTAGGCTAGAGGGAATGCAGTACTTCAAGCTAGCCTGGAAAGAAGGAAACAAGCACTGCATGAACGTCGTTTGGCTCTTGAGCAAGATGTATGCTCTTTCTTCAAGTTGAATGCCATTGCTATTTCAGTTTTTGCATATTTATGTATGTTAATCAACTTGTGATTCTACTTTTGCTCCTACCCTGCTCCTAGTTTACTGCCTACAGTAGTGGAAGCCTCATTGAGTTTGATACTCTTCATAGAAGCTTACCTTTCAAAGAAGAATAATTATATTGTTCCTCGTCCTCACTCCCTATGTTATTCACTTGGAATATGATGTTTTGAACTTGACGTAACGCCCTCAGATTTGTGAAAAAAGATGATAGTATTAGTTTTCTTTGAAGTTCCACAATGGTTTTAGCTTGTGAAGCCATTTGAAAAGTTCTTCCATATAACTGTGTAAACTCTGTGGAAGAAGAGGTGAGCATAAGAATTGCTCTTTATGCAAGGAACAAGCTTAGATGGCATGATATACCTAAATTCTGGTGGTTTGGCCTTGGGAAACTTAGTGGCTCCTACGTCGTAAGGATACAATATGAGTACAAGAACTATAACGAATTACTTAAAACGTTGTTAGTGGAATTCAAGTTTTTCTTATATGATGAAGAACCAAGTTAAGTCCCTTTCCGAAATAGTTTATGTAGTTCAAGCTTACAATCTGAGAATTAGATTCATGAAATTTTAGTAAGTGGACTACAGAATGAAAGTTTCGGGATCAACTTGGTTTACGCTTTTGATTTTAGTACAGATGAATGTAGGTCGCACAAGCGGGGGGTCTTCACGGAAAAAGCTGCTCTACCTTCTGGGGGTATAGGTTAGGTCTGCGTACAGATCACCCCTCCGAGACCTTGCTTTCGAGCATGATATATTGCATTTGTTTGGTTTGGTGTTCTTTTTGGTTATGAATGTAGGTCATCTGTTATCCATAAGCATCCATTTGACTTCGTTCTTGTTTATGTAAGGTTAAATTCCGGTAACACTCTGATTGTGTGTCCATCTTGAAGGGAGATGTACATTTACGTTAAAGATACTTTACCTGTGTATATGATACTAAAAACTTATGTAGCTTGATTTGGATTAATGAGGATGATTGTCCAATGTCAGGTTTCAAGACTTCAGGAGCAGTTACAAGCTGAGAGGGATTTAAGGGCTGCATTAGAAGTTGGATTAAGCATGTCTTCTGGACAGATTTCTGGATCCCGTACTATGGATTCAAAGGTTTTTGCTCATCTCTTCTTGTTCTCTATTTGTCGTGTCTGAATTATCAAGATTTTGTGGTCTTTTTCTTATAATTTTCTTGTAAATGAAGACAAGGGCTGAGCTGGAGGAAATTGCTCTTGCTGAAGCAGATGTGGCTAGATTGAAGCAAAAAGTGGCTGAGTTGCATCATCAACTTAATCAACAACGCCAACATCACTATGGCTCTCTCTCGGATGCTTCTGATCGTTACCAACATGTCCATAACCATAATCCTCAACAGTGAGTGCTCCATTTACCATGTTATTCATGCTTTTGTTGTATTATGGAATGAATTGTAAATACACACACACACACACACACACACACATATATATATATATATATATTATTTATGTAGATTTGGGCTTGTGCATAAATCTAAATTTCGGGAAAAGTGTGAAGATTATAATAAAATGTTAAACGGATGTTGAAACAAGCTTGTTAGAATAACAAGCTTATTTTTGAAAATTATTGACTAAAATTTGTTTTTTTTTGTAGGCTCTGTGCACATGTATATGAGTGATCCTATTCAGAGAAATTTAGTTATTATCTATTTGTTTCCAAGTAATGCATATCCCTATGGTCTCCCTAATATTCCTAAAGGAATTTGGATCAAATGGGCTCCTCCTTTTGGTATTTTGAAGTTGAACTAAGATGGTTCTTCATTAATCTACATATTAACAAACATGGTTTCTTGGCTGTATGGACATGTACATGGATGACTCATCATATTAACAAACATGGTTCTTGTCAAATGTCATATGGGTTATCTAGGTTGTATGCATATGTGAATGGTTCACCATATTTAAACATTTACCTTTTCTAACTACGTATGGGGGCTTTGGGCTGATGCACATTTGAATGACTTTTTTTTTTTTATTAACCTGGATATCCAACCCGCTATGCGAGCCGACTAATCCCAGGGTGACCACCTGCTTTGCAGATAGCCCGGAGTCACCGCATTTGAACCTCCGTGGCCACCGGGGGACTTTTATTCCTCCTTGGATTTGAACCTGGGACCTCCAGGTACTTTTGACCATTGGAGCCAAGCTCAAACCAACCAGGCACCACCCTTGTGGTTCATTTGAATGACTCTTCATATTAAAAAAAAACATGGTTCTTTCCAAATCTACATAGGGGATTTCTGGGCTATATGCACATGTGAATGATTCACCAATACTCAAAAGTCAGCATTTTTTCTTCCTCATTATGGTGTGGCGGTTCTAGGCTGTATGCACATGTGGATCATTCATATTGTGGGTTTTGGGCTGTATGCACATGTGAATCATTCACACTACGGGGTTACAGGTTGTGTGTGAAAGTGAATGTGATCGCCTTTCAATCATGGATGTAGTTTTGGCAAAATGTAACCGCCCCTATTACTTTCAACTATTGGATTAAAACAGATGGACGGTTCGGATGGGTTCCCTTCTTTTTTGAAGTGTTGAACCCACCCATATATATATACATATATACATACATACATACATCTTCAATCAACTAGTCATAACTTGGCCCCAACCTTGTTAGCTATACTATGGTTCTGTTCATCAAAAAGAATAGGTAAATATCTATCATGTTGAGCATCCTATTCTCTTTGTCATATGTCCATACATTAAAAATATGTATTTGAGATAGGATATGGAGTATAACCGTTCACAACAACTCCAAAACAAATGTTTGTAGTCATATACCGATGGGATCATGTAGCATAATTGGTCTTGTACTGTATTTTTTTGACAGGAGATTTTTTCAGCAAGATTTTGATACTACACTTGCTTTTATCAACCATGAAAGGAAACAAAGAACTGAGGTAACTAGCTTCTTAACGTATCTGCTTAATTCGCCACGCTTTTAATGTTCATAAGTCATAATTCTTGTATTATGTGTCTAAGGTTGTTGACTGAAATGTGAACCATATATCAAGTACAAATAAATCATGATATCCACTTCTGAGATATTGTTCTCTAGACACAACCTATAACCTTACAAAAAGTAAGCAAGCTGAAAGGTTTGTTGAGAAGAAAATTGTGACCTAAATTATCCAGGGAGATTGGATGACAGTCTGAACATTGATGGTGTTTACATATATTTTATCTAGTTAAAATGGGATACCTAGATTATAATTTCAATGATTTGAGTTTGAGGGATGTATCACATTGTCAACCAAACCCTTCCCTTGGTAAAGTATAGAAATCAGGGGCAGATCATTTCCGGTCTGTGAAAAGTGGTTGAAAGTTGAGTACCCTTTTGAAAGAATCAAATTAGAAAACGTTGACGTATTGATAAATCTTAGTACTATATCTTAAAAGAGGCTGATTCTATGCATCTCCAACACTACTAATTGGACATTATGCTCACTTTGGTGATTATATATTGATATTAATAAACCAGACAATGGCCTCTATTGTTAAAATTGGATATAATTGATATGGTATATGAGTATAATCACTAATCCTTTTGTTCCAGTATGTAACTGAAAAAGTGATGCTTCCTAACTTTGGATAAATTTCACCTCCATCCTCATTTGAACAATGTTCAATTAGTAGTGGATATGTGTTGAGCAGTTTTCAGGTGTAAATATTTTCCATGTATAACTGCCATTAATATTTGGGTCTGATGTCATTCTCTATTAGATATTACTTTTGTATACCCTTTTCGAAAAAGAAGACACATTTGACCTTTTGCATGGGTTACTTGGAGAAGTTAAGGGATAAATTAGTAATAGAATCGTCTTAATATAGGAAAATTCACTGGGAATGGAGTTGAGAAATCTCAAAGGACAAGCATTAACATCTGGTAACAGCAGTAGGCAGCCTGCTCGTAAGCAGTTGGTAGACTCGAGCAACACTAGAAGTACCGAGGCATCAACAAGTTTATCCATGGATGAGTTTGGGAATTCTGCCAGCACGCTGCCATCTTCATCCAGACCAGCAGAGGTTAGAGACTCTACTACATCCATAAATGCATTAAATGAAAACCTTCATGTTGGAACCATTTAGACTAAAGTAATACAAATTGATTAAATGAGAAACACCACATGGATTGTGTATGACCGTGAAGGTCTGAAATTTGTAGGTAATCGACTATCCACGACACCCATCGGCTGCATCTTCCACCTTGGTGGAGTTAACGACCCGACTTGATTTCTTCAAGGAACGACGCTCTCAGCTTATGGAACAACTTCACAATCTTGATTTAAACTACGGGACATCCTCCCAAGATTTTATGTATAAACAATCATCTCCGCGCTAGAACCATAAGCAAATGACATTTATCTCCATTTGTATATCCCTTATTTTTGTGGAGTGTAGATGCTTTTCTAGTCTCTTTTTTCATCGTCTATTTCCTTGTCATTTTAATGATTTGTTTTATCATGTGTAGCGAGTGGGTATTTGTCTATCATAAAAGCATTATTATCTTGCTATTCGAGAATGTAATCAATGAATGTTATGCTTTTTGTGACATGATAGCTTTATCTATTATGCATCCATTTTTTTATATATTACCTTCTTGTTGGTCGTGTGTCTTGTAACAACTCTAAATGGTTTGATGTACGCATTGCGAACGTACCTTCTGTTACTCTATTGCTCAAAACATGACATCGAGCGACAAAATGGGCAAACCGATGGGTCCTAGGAACAACCCCCGCTCCAATCCTGGTCTTGACCGGTTTCTTGGTAAAAATCAGTTAACTGGTTGTATCTCAATTGTGTTTGTCTTATCACTTCCTACACTTGTTTTTCCTATAAGAATGTTTTAAACCACAAAAGAGTGGGTTCATTGAGTGTTAATTGGGTCTCACCGTAACTTCTATTCTCACACGATCCCTCGTCCCAATACCATAGATGTTAATAAAATGTTGGTGGTGTTCCTAGACAACATGTTCTTGTATCCTTCATATGTAATCCTTTTGTGTTACATGTGGTAAGTTTTTATGTCCACGACAAGTGTTATATAGTAGTACTACTAAGGAGTACGTAAATTTATAGGGTCGTACATAAATAATATGTATTCCTCGATATGATTATTGGATAAACATAAAGCCGAACAATATCATGTTGGTTATTAATTATTATTCTAGCAGAATAATTAACGTATGTGATAAAAGTACAATTAAGATAATTACATGGCTTTACGTGTATTTGCATTTACATATAACTTTTTTATGATTAATAAAATCAACAAAACCTTTATATTAGATTTGACAGGCTTTTAATAGATAGGCTTAAGGATTATAACAGGTCGATCTCATATTTGAGAATTGTGGATAATCTATAACTCCAAATGCCACCTAGATTTTAGAGTTTCGAGCTCACAGTCTAGCACTTCTTTGAGCCAGGTATGTTCGTGTGTGGATTGCTGTAGATGAAATTTTTTTTGGTTTCCTGTGTTCCGGTCAGAATCTAATATGAATCCTAAAGGTAACATATAAGCACCCTATGGTTTGTTTAGATTCAGTTAAATGTGTCATTTGATCCGAAAAGGGTTTATTTTTATGAAAACTTTTCTAAAGAAAGTAACCTAACTAAATCAAATTTTAATTCCCATTGCGTTTTTTATAAGGTTACTTTAAAACGAAACCATATAGTGATATTAGAGCCACTTTGTCATATTAACTAATAACAAAACAAATAAAAAAACAGAAATTAGACCCATCTCCGGTCGGCCGCTAGGGGTTTTTGGTCCATGGGTGTGCATCGGTCGGCCATGCCATGCCTAGGCCACTCTCTTGTGTCTCCATGCCACGGCCATGTCGGCCAGTCGTGTCCCGGTCTTGTCGTACCAGCATCATGTTGTGACTGCCTTGCGACCGTTCTAGTTCTAATGTTGTACTGCGATCGTCCAAACACTGTGTCATGGTCAAAGCCTTGGGCCATGGTTGGGCCGTGTTTTTGGTCCTGATTCTTAGGCTTGGTCCATTTGGCTATGTTGTCACCTTTTTCTAGGAGGTTTTCCGTTTTGTTTATTTTGTTCCGAGTTTTACCCGTTAATCTATGTTTATTTATTTTTTATCAAAATTTTTGTTATGATTATTAAAGTTAATAAATATATGATATAGTCTTAGACCTTGTAGATGTGTTTAATTGATTATTTTAGTTTTGGGAATTAAAATATATTTAATTGCAAATGAGTTGTAATTTTAAAATGACCTACATGTCATTCTATTTTCTAGTTAAAGATAATTGTAAAATAGATTTTTGTAATCAAATTGAAAATGACGTTCCAAAAGGTCGAAATTGAGTCCCGAAGTTCACCAAGTTGGTGAAGTTAGTGAGAGCTTGAAGACGTCCCAAATTTGACCCCCCTTGTCGTGTTTGCACATGATACCACATTAAGGGCTATATCATATATTGTGTGTTTTTATAGTTGTTTAATTTTGTGTTATATATTTATTTTGCGCTCTATTATTGTTATAATAAATGCAAATTGTCTTTAAAAATAAATCAAACGTGAAATGGGATTTTTATTCAGTTAATAATACGATATTTATAAAAATTGATGTGATTATCAAAATAAAACTGATTTTAGAGATAACTTTTAAAATATGATTTTAAGATTTACTTTATAAAATGGATAAAATCAAAAGTTTTAAAAGCTTAAGAATGATTCTAAGATATAAAACATTTTTAAAATGCATGTTAAATGTCACCCATTTCGTGTACTCGTCAAAATATTACCAACTCTGGTATATTCAATGTATTATCCAGCTACGTAAAGAAAAGTAATACGAGACATGGTGCTAAACTAACAATATCCAAATAGACAGATGCATTTTGTCATTCATTTTGGATAGTTGTAATTTTAGTCAATTGATTTTTCTAAAAGTTGTTAGCCTGCTTGAAATATCCGTAAATAAAGCATTGGTCATTTACAGATATTTCAAGGCGTGGAAGTGGGATTAAACATGCCAAAAATTTAACATATGATATGTTAAACAGAATCCCATGAGAATATAAAAATTACGTTGAATGTGATTAGATGATACCTACCTAAATAACATATTCTTGTAGACAGGTGCATTTGGCCATTTATGAAATACGTGAAATATATATCTTAACTCATTTTAAAATGTTAATTCATTTACTAAGATTTTAGAAGTTACTAAAATTGAACTAGATTTTTGTAGATGTCTTCTAATACCACAAACACAAACACAATATCAAAGGGTCTTTGACCTAGCGGTATCGTAGTCATTTGCCTTCTAGGAGGTCAAGGGTTCAAACTTCATCAAATGTGAGAAGGGTGTATGAATTTATTTTTTTGCATTTGCCATATATAAATATTATATACTTAAAAAAAAACACAAACAACTCAAACTTATCCCAATTCACATCGTGATTGGTTCTTGATAAGGAAAAACTGAATGCTACATGTAATAATCTGGTTATTATTTTGGTTTTAAATATATATATATATATAT